GCCTCAAGCCTTCAAACCCCTAGTGCATAATTTCCTCATCACCACCAGTAACAGAAACATTGCAAATCCCATCTACATGCATAGGAGCCAAAATGATCAATAAATTGATCGTGGGCCCTTAAGATATAGCAGAAGAAGAAAACATTCGCATGGCGATACAAACATTCGCAGGGCGATACAAACATTCGCATGGCGATACAAACATTCTTATGGCAATACAAACATTCACAGGGCAATACAAACATTCGCAGGGCAATATCATGGCAATACAAGCATTCGCAGGGCAATTCAAACATTTTGAAAGTCATTTTAAGGATTGTTTTGGTACATCTTTTAATGAGTAACTGCTCTATCTGTTTCAGTTGACATAAGTTTAAAAAGAAAGAGAATGTCCTTGTATCCATTCATTGTTTCCATTCATTATATTCATTCATTGAATTCATTCATGTAACCATTCATTGTAACCTTTAATTGTAACCATTCTTTGATCCATTAATTGAATCCTTTAATTGTAACCATTAATTGAATCAATTGTAACCATTAATTGTATCCATTCATTGTAACAATTATTATATCCATTAATTGAATCCATTCATTGTATCCATTCTTTTTAAAATTCTTTATTTAGTCGACGTCAAATTCATTGAATTCAACACATAATTCTACTGATTCAGATGTTGTAGTGATCTTTTTGTTATCCCAATATAAAATAACGAACAACGACGACCAATGTCAAAATTGGCTGGTTCCGGTATCATTTGGTTTTTGCTCTTAACCCCCCTCCCCCCTTTTTTTCCCCTTGTCGGTCAAAACAACATTTCGTTCACTATAGTTATTCATTTAAAGGGGTTCTCTCGATTTAAAAAAAAAAACGAGAACCCCTTTAAATGAATAACTATTCGTAACTTTTAAAGCTAATAATGAATTCGATTTAAAAAAAAAAAACATTCACTATTAGCTTAAAAAAGTTACGAATTCCAACAGTGAGTTGAAGAGAGCCACAGCTGTTCCAAGAGCTGTAGTTTCTGATTCAATCATGGTGTTCCAAATTCACGTTGATAGCTCTTTTTAAACTAAATTTACTGCAGCTATCTGAAGTTTTTTTGTTGTATTTTTTTTTTCATTATTTTTTCGTTTTCCAGTTATTTTTAAAATACAATAATTTATGGGTCATAATGATGCGATTAACTGTAAAGTGAACATCTCTCAATGTGAACTTGGCGGGCCAATCACAAAGTCCGACAGCTTTGAACAATAAATCCTTGCCAAAACTTGGACAAACACATCCACTTGGACGACTTCGTTGGAAGTTGGCTCATTGCTTTTTTTTTCTTCTTGCGCCACTATCAGGGATACAAAGATATTTTATAAATTAATGCCGATAGGCTTATACATTTTTTTTTCTGTCACTAAGCCGCAATGCAAGGGTTATTGAGTCTCACTGAGTTACTTCCTTCCATGGTTTAGGTAAACTTTGTCTGGATACGAATTCAAGAAGATTGGAGATTTTTTTTTTTTAATTTTTAAAAAAGCTGGGCTTATTTTTATTCAAGAAAATAGAATTTCAGTTATCTAGGTTTTTAACTTGGGCATTTCAATTTAAGCGACCGGTTTAGTGTAGGCCTATTATCACAGACCATCTGTATTCTGTATAGCAGGCTGTACAATTTAGTATCATATCGCAAACCAGATGAATTTAAGGCAGAACAATCTATGCTATAATTATGTTTTCAATCATGCCTGCATCAAATTTTCTCTATTTTTAAAATTAAACACGTCATGGATTTTTTCTTTAATGTAATTAGATTGACCGTATTACTGCGCATGTAGGCTACTTCTTCATTACAATTTTCCTTTTTAAAAAAAAAAAAGTTTCTCTTTACAACATATTTTTAAAAATGCAGTTCACCGCCAATCTTCAACTTTAGTGAGATAAATCACTTCATGCTGAACGGTGAGCAAACGTGAATAGTGTAGCATCGAAACAACTTGAGACATATTTTTCTCGTACCATAGACTTAATTTATTTGAATGCTGCCAATGTGAATTTTATTTCAAACATCCGATCCAGGAATTTCAAATGTGTGTTTTTTGTATATCCACAATAATTAAAACGTCATACGTACATCTAAGTGTGTGTGGCCTACATTGGATATATACGAAATCTTGACTTCAAAGAATGATTTCTTCTTTAATTTTAACAAAGAGACTGTGGATACAAAAAAAAAAGAACTGAAAATATTAAGGAACAATGGAAAGTTAAACATGAAATAAATAAAAAGCTTCCATATGGTTTCAGGTCATCAGCAGACATAGCGAATGCCAACCTTTGTATCCCATGGCGGGCTCCATGCACACAAGATCAGGTTTTGGTCGACAAATACAAGTTCCTGAGGTGCTGTGGCAGAAACTCATGCAGGTAACTTATTGAATATGAAGATGCCCTAGCAACTTGTCTTAGTAACTTATTGAATATGAAGTTGCCCTAGCAACTTGTCTTAGTAACTTATTGAATATGAAGATGCCCTAGCAATTTGTCTTAGAAATTTATTGAATGTGAAGATGCCCTAGCAACTTGTCTTAGAAATTTATTAAATATGAAGATACCCTAGCAACTTGTCTTACTAATTTATTGAATATGAAGATGCCCTACCAACTTGTCTTAGAAATTTATTGACGATGCCCTAGCAACTTGTCTTAGTAATTTATTGAATATGGCTTAGCAACTTGTCCTACCGTACTCAAAAAGTGATTGGTTTAACAGATACCTATGGAGAGCCAAGTTACCATGGTAACGCAGATGAACAGTGTTATGAGTGATGTGAATTATTACTTTAAAAGTTACCAACTGATTTGTTTAGGATACATAACTCCTTTATCTTTTACCCAACCTGATCATTGGCCTTGTATTCTAAGCACTGAGTTTATGGCACTTTAAATTATACAGCAACAAAAAAAGATTACTCAGAAGTAAAGGAATTTTGTCAAATTAAATAGATTTATGGCTGCTACATTACCAAAGACAATATTAGACCTTGTTAACATCAAAAGGCTGTGATGTTTTCTTAGATAAGTAGATTTCAGATCCATAAGCAACTAATTTGGAATACTAGTAACCTATTTATAACACAAGTCTACAATGAAACTCTACATTAACTTGAATCAAGTTTCATATTTGAAAAAAAAAACAACTAATGAGCTGAATCTTGTGTCTCCAGGTGCACAATGTGGGGCAACAACTGCAGATGTGAGGCATACCTTGGCAGATAAACATTTCCCTGGACTTGCACGGCCACTAGCGCAGTGTCTGGTGGTGAACCAAACATCACTTGTTCTCTAGTGACAGCTGTCCATTATGTTACTATACAGAGTTATCTCCTCTACGTTTATTTCATTTTCGGTAAACAAACAGGAAGTCATCCTCATGAGTGTAATTTGTTAGAATGCTCATTGGTCATCAGAAAAACAAAGCTGTCAAAGTTGTTTTTTTTAAATTTTAGTTTTAAAATACATATTAGTTAACAAAATTTTGTTTATTGTGTTCTTTTTATTTGAACAGTTAAAAAATTGTATTAGTTTAAATGACTTGCTAAAACGGATTAGCTTAAAAGGTTGTTTCAAGTGAACTTTCTAACTTTATAATTATCCCATTACCCAGCAAAAATATAATAAAATTATGTTTCACTTAAGAAAAACTTTTACTTGTTATTTCTGCTCTTGTAAAGATGCATGTGTTAGTTTTAAAGACACAGATAAAGATAAATACGGTATGAGTAGTGTAGTTGAACTGTGGATATTGAAAGGAATAAAAAAAAAATTAATATTTCAATTGCATGATAAAAGATCTCTGTGTTTTGAAAGAAATGGGGCAACAAAGAATTAATAATTTTATTTTGCTTTCTTCTGCTTGTAGATTTCAACTACACAAATTAATTTAATTAATATGTACAATTGGACAACCAGAAATGAGAATAACATGCATTTATTTATATGTCACTCATTTTTAAAATCTTATTCAAAGTTTAAATTTTGGGAAATTTTCGTTATGTTTATAAATATAAGTTATTTTATGTTAAACCATCAGGCCTATGAGTTTGAATTCACAGAAGAAGGGTGTGAAATTTCAGCTTTCATTTGAAGTATCACTTTTAGTTTGCCCATTTACCAAAGTCTCTACTGTGAAGAATTCAGAATATAATAATTAATATTATAATTTATTAATGTAATCAATAAAAAAACAACAACTGATGATTAATAACAGGTTAAATAATTTCAAATATAATTTTTTTTTAAATTTTAAAAAGTACATCAATGCCAAATATGACCTCTCCATAATCAGAGAATAAACAATAAAAATGGCTGGAATTTATGAATACAACGACTATTCAAAACCTTAATTTAAATTTTAAAAATGTCTACAGTCTTGATTTTTGAATAAACACCAACGGGATTTTAAAAAAAGTAATATTTTCTCATGTAGTTTTTCAAGTGCTAATGAATGTACCAAAAGTTTGGCACCATTATTTTTTCAAAATTCAAGTTATCCCCAAGCCGATTTAAATAAGGGTTCCTCTAAAGTTAAATTCTTCATGTGGCTATGGAGTTAAAACATAACGAAGGTAACATGGTATAAAATACAGAAGATTATTTACAAGTATCACAGATAGTTCAAAGGTATTAAAACTAAAAAAAATAAATAATTAAAATTGATTAACATGACATGTAAAACTGCTTCTTGGCAGGTTGGTTTTACTTTCAGACTACTTATTGTTGTGACACTACATGTATTTTAAAAATATCTAATATATAATATCTATTGCAAAAATAGAAGCTATTTTAAAAATATACAAAACAACACACATATCAAGCTCGATGGGGGTTGGGGGGGGGGCTGTTGAAACCAACCCCTAATAAAAATCAAAGATGACAGGAAAAACATGGATTTCATCAACAGAATAAACTATGGAATTTCCAACTCCAGCTCATCATCTTCAGACACAAAACTATTTACGCTGTAATCGTCTAAATCCTCACTTTTTTTACCATCACTTTTGTTGCTTTCACTTTCTTGAATCCATTTTTCGCCTTCATCCCCCTCCCAAACATTGGTATGACTAATATTTCCGTCATCAGACATTTCCTCATCCTCATATATTTCCTCTTCAAAAGAAACATCATCATAGTTTCCATTTAGTTCATTGACTTTAACATCTTTGTGTTGAGGACTCACTCTTCTAACATGTTCAATCTTCTGGTTTTGGTCCTGTTCTAAAGTCTTGCCACTGCTCTTCCTGTTTGGAGTTTGTTTACTTCTCTTGATTCGCTGAGAGTAATCTCTCTTTTTCTCAATGGCCTTGATAACTCTGATCATACCGAGCTGGTCTGCTCTCTCAGATACTGTCAGAAGAACTTCTTCAGTGGTATCAGTGTCATTGTCTGCCATTTTGACTTTACACTGTTTGAATACAAGAAAAAAATATTTGCTATAACCTATGTTCAGATATATTGAGCTAGTGTTAGAAAAAAGGCACATTTTGTAGTATCAGATCTGTGTTAAGCACATTCTGTAATACAGGATAATGAAATACCCAATTGTGCATTAGAAGCAACCTGACATGAATGAGACATTAAAAAACTAATAAAGAAGAAGAGCTGAATGCCATTTTTGAGCATATTGTTAATATGTTACATATAACTAAAATGCATAATTTATTTTAAAATGTATGCACATTGCACAAACTAAATGCCAATGCTTATATCATTTTCTTTTGGGGATTTGAATGCTTCAATGACTTCTGTGAATACAAATATAAAAAGGCTGAAAAGGAAATAATTTATTTTTAAACTGCTCTTCATTATGCTTTCTACCAAACCTTAAGCATGATGAATGGAAGTAGCAGAAGCCACTTGGTTTCCCACCCAAATTTCCAGTAGACCATTTGGTCTAAAACTTATAATATTTGTATAATTTTGAATCTTTATAATGCAATTATTATTAACTATTCCATAGTGAATAATATACAAAAAATTAGGGGAAATTAAGCATTACATCCCATTGCAACATTAAGTAGACACAGGAAAACTTTTCCAATCTGTTGTAAGAGGCCGTCAAGTATTAGAGAGCAATTAAAAAAAAAAAGCTCCAGAAATTTTTTAATTTTGGGATTGACTGAGGCCCAGATGTTGTAGGTCAGAACCCAGACGGATGTTTCTTTTGTAAGTGGAAAAGAAAGAGCCCTTTCCAGCTCAAAGGCTGTTGAAAGAGAGATACTGAACTGTTTATAGCTATTTAATTTAAATTAAGTTTTCTTCCTTAAATATACCATTCAGTTACTTTTATACTGCTTTAAGATTTTAATATCAAAGCATATTTTTTAAAGCAAAAGAATATTAAACCCAATTAAGAAAATCCAGCTTCAGTGAAATGAATTTATATAACCATCTTATGTTGATTTTGAAGGGCCTTGATCTAATACTTGTTTATAAAGAAGGGAGGAAACTCCCAGATTTCCTTATAACCCATTGGTGCGGCTTAAAATAACAATACAACGATTGCTACATTGTGACAAGTCAATTACTAATCTGATGAATTCTTCTACATAAAGCTAGCAAACTAGCTCTGTTTTAGCTTTACCGGCTCCTTTCTTGTCCAGTCTGTCCCCAGCTGAATAAGTCTCACTGCAATGTCTTCTTTCTTTGACTCCATGGCCACAAACACCAAGTCTCTATATTCAGGCATCAATGGGCTGAGCTGGAGAAAAAAGAATTAAGCTGGATTACTAAAGTTTGTCAAAATATGTCAGAAGGGGATAAATTTGGATCCCATCAAACATATTAATTTTATATCAACAGTTAAACTGGTAGTTGTTGAGTAGGGGATGTGGAAATCTACTGGAACTCTACTGAAATAAATTTAAATACTACACTAAACAAATTTTGGAATGTACTTAAAATATTCTCTCCTTACATTTAAAGTTTAAAAAAAAGAAGGTTTGCGACTCTTACAGGATAAATACCACAACAATTATTAATATTATGATGTGCTTACAACTTTTGAAAAGTCTGCTACAGGGTATTTAAATTTGCACACAGCCTTCTCAAAGTGTTTCAGTTGCTTCCCTTTGTATCTCATCATGAGACACAGCTCTTCATACTTAAGAAAGAACACACAAAAATTAAACAAGTCACACTATTCATCAAGAAACAGTTATGTTATTTATTATTGGAAAACAAATCTGCATGACATTTTATTACAAGTTTGCATTTTACATCTGCTAAAGAATACAAGAGCAGATCTGAATTACATTGTGTAATTATTCAGGTCAAAACTATAAAGTTTTTTTATATTTTATATGTACACCAGGAAAAGAAAAAGGGAAAGTGAGATATTGCTAAACATAAATAACAATATGAACACAACCACCAATCAGCGACTGGTAGAAACCACAAGACTGTATTAAGAAATGAGTAACAAGAATCTGAGTGACCTGGAAAATAAGCAGCATATGACCACTTTAAGTATATAATAACAAAAATAGTTTCGGGCAAGGATTCAGTCTCGTTGCACTTGCAGTAATTATTTTATTGTAAAAACTAAGTAAAATATACTTTACGCTAGTTTCATGTCATTTTCCAAATATCTACCATTAACAATAAAAACTCAATGATTTAAATATTGGGAAAAAACACTGCTCACTTTGTCAGCACAGTCAAGTTGTCTTTCCATTCCATAATGAAACTGAAAAAAAAGACAACAAAATGATACCAAAATTACTGTGCTATGTGTTTTTTCAGCAGACTTAACTAGTATCTTTTTTTTAAACAGACATCTTTTAGCATTTAATACTAATAATTTTTTTCTTCCTACAATTAATTACTTATTACATTAAATGGGACATTTTGATTTTTAAAAAAAGAATGATTAAAAGGAATAGCATTTCATTTTAACCCTGACAAAAATGCACAACTGTTAGAAATCAATTATATCCAGTTAATAAAATCAAAGTCGCTTTTTTTTTAGTTGCAATTTAACTGAATGATGTATGCAGCTTGTCTAATTCATTATTAAATCTTTCAGAAAAAAGTTGGGGAGCGCTTACTCTTCGTTCCTTTTCAAGCCATGTATCAGATGTAGCTGAGTGGTTTAGGTAGTAATTGCCTGTGTGGTTAATCTGGAAAATACATGAAAAACGGTAACAACTGAATTTTACATTAAAGGAGAACTTTTTAAAATATAAAGACAGAGAAGAAAAAGGTGCATTTATTAAAATTAGTTGAATTAGGTCAAAAGAAGACTTTTTTTGGAAGGTTCTATAACAAAACCAAGAATAATAGGTTAGAAAAGAAATGTTCTTACATTATGTCTAATCACCATGGACATGGTTGCAATAAGGGTATAATAAATTTAATTTTGATATGTACAATTTTCAAGCTTACTACATCAAAAACTTCAGTATTGATTCCTGAATTCTTAAGTAAACCACAAAACTCCTCTCTTTTATCTTCTGCTTTCAACGCACATGCATAGTGGTATGGTGTACGACCCATCTGGAAATATTTACAAATTCTTCAGTAATTACTTTTTAGATACATGATTTATGTTTTTATTTCTGTGAAATTGCATTTTGAAAATCTGACAAATTGATCTCATGTGAGTTTAAAAGGTATTTAAAAATAATTATTTAATTTAAATTGATTTAATTCAGTTTTTTCTAAACTATTATCCAGACTGAAGATCCTATCAAACCTGTGAGGGTTATTCATACTTCTTTAAGGAATAAAATAGAATTCCAAGTCATCTTATTTTACAGATCAAGCAAAATCTTATTTAATATTCCATAAAGTAAAATTATTTACATTGTCTTTAATATTTATTTCAATATTTGGCTGCTCCAAAAGCAATTTGAGGATTTCCAGTCTTCTATGCAGAAGACAAATATGAAGGGCTGATCTCCCACCCTGGTTTTTTTTTTTAAAAAGCAAAGTTAACATAATTGTTCAATAAAATTATTTTAATCATAATGATTTGACAATGATATTTTAATCATAATGATTTGACAATGACACAACACCAAAAAAAAATAATTATTGAAAAATGAAGCAACTTATAAACTATAAAATATCTAGACTATAACAATTATGAATTCTATCACTTTTATCAAATGATAAATTTCTAGTGACTGACTTAAAACTCAATAAAGTTAAGATAAATGGGTTTAGTTAAATTAATTATGAAGAATTATTGCATTAAAAATGAATATAAAGTTTTTGTATTATTAATTACCATAGAGTTATTCAATTAATAGTCATACTCACCTTATCTCTGGCATCTACTAACAACTCTGGTCTGTCACTTGTAACTAGTAGTTCATACATCTTATCAACCGACCAGTGCTGTACACCAAAATGAAGTTTTTTCACCTGAACCTAGAAAAAAGTATTGATCATTTATAGCAAAAAGAGTTCTAGAATCAACATGCATGATGATTACATAAAACTTGACACTTGCAATAGAAGAGTTTTATATATGTATGGAGTATACAAAATGATTTACTCCGAACAACCTCATTTAATGTTTCCTTAATGTAACTTTGCAAATGAGAGCACATTCATAAATTTAACTAAAGATTTGTCTATAACAAATCTTCATAAAAAAATTACATTAAAAAACAACATTTAGATTCATTTTTATGACCCTGACTTTACAAATGAGCACTGACAACAAGACTAGACCTTTAATTTTTACAAATATCATTTAATTATATAAAACAGATTATAGAATTTTGGACAGGCACTTCTGTGATACACCAGGCTGATAGTGTATTTTTAGTAAGTAATTAAAATAATCCAGTGTTAACAAAAGTTAAATATTATATTGAAACCAAGATGTGCTAATGCCCTTACATTAAATGTGGGAAGCCACTGAGTAAATTTCACAGCATCTTCTGTATCATTCCCGCTGGCATAGATGAATGTGTCTCGATACTGTGGGTTAAAACAGAATATTTTTTAAATAGTTTTAAAAAAGCATTTCAAAACAATAGGTTGTTACGAAAAAAATATATTAAAAGAATATTTTAAAAAAGAACTGATCAAAAAAGATTCTTTTAGTAACAAACAAATAAAGCTTAATATAAAACAAGATGACAGAAATTTTATTTCTAATGAAAAAAAAGTTTTTAAAAGAAAAAATATATTTTGAAAAATTAAAGTAAGAAAAAATGGAAACCAATTATATATTGATTAATTTCTAAAATAAACATTTTTTGTTTGTTATTTTTCTCATGGAATTTTAACTTATTTTTATTTAATGGAGAGATAAAAAAGCTAGGTTTCATATTATCAAATATTTATAGAAAAAAAATTATGAAAGATAAATATTGTCTATTTAGCTTACATTCAAGTCAATCAAGAGGCTGTCATAACCCATGACTGCTAACCTCTCCAACTCAGTCATATCTGATGATCTGATGGTCTTAACATAGGCCTTTTTGGAATGAACAGAAAGAAACACTGGGATAATAACAATTTCTTCACGAAGAGCTTTTCTGGTTTGGTTTCGTTTCTCTTTTCAATGTAAGCTTTTTTGACTTGAACGTTGACAAATTTAACAGCAAATTACAACTATGCAGCAAATTACAACTATGCAACAAATTGCAGAAATATTACAATGAATAAACTTGACTGTCTAAATAGTGTTGTAATAAAAAAAAAGGTGTATTATTCTAAAGATATGAACAGCTGATAATTAATGTGCCTATGTTCTGTAATGAATTGATCTGTCTAATGTATTATAATGAATTAAGAATGAGATTTATAAAATAACTGACATTCTCAAAAGTAAAATACTTTTTACCTTGTCTATTATTGCTACGATGTCTCTCCTCCTCGCAAACTTGGCTACATCTCGAAATGTCACACCAGTCTGTAAGTAGACACTGCATCAATGTAATATTTAAAGAGTTTATTAACTTTTCATCAAGCGCATGTTAAATCTATTATAATCTCCAAGTGCAATTTCTAAAACAAGAAATTCATGCTTCTTGTGAGTTGTCTTATGCGATCATATCTTCAAAGCCATTGTGTTTAATCTATTAAAGTTAAAACCATAATATCATTAATACACGACATTAAACCAACCCTCGACATGGTTTAAATTTATTTGGTTTCTAGATCAATCCAGATATGAGAAAATATAACACAAAAAACTCACAAAATTTGCCACTGACAGAAAAATCAAAGCTAATGACAATGATTACACGGCAAATGTTTACACATCTGATAGAAGAATAAAAGTACCAAATCTCTCTGAGAAATATCCAGTCCCTTGCTCATCATATATGCTATGACTTCACATGAAATTTTTCCACTGGTTTTGTCTAATGCATAAATAGCAGCATTTCGTCCTCTCTGTAAGAATAATGCAAAAATAATGTTTTACATACAAAGCTTATCTTGAAAATGTTTTTTCACCTTGTTACAGATTAAAATATAAAAATAAAAAAAAATTTTTTTTATAATATACTTACCTCATCCTTTAAATTAAAATCAGCATCGGCTTTTAGAACAGCCCAGGTAATTTCCTCAGAGATTTTTGAGCCTATGGCCTCAAAGAACAGAGGTGCCTGTGATGTGCAAAAATTAAAATTAGTCAAATGGTCGTAAAAGGAGATCCTGAAAAAGTTATTATAAACCTTGCATAAGAAAAATATTTTAATTATATATTATAAGATCTATACAATTTTTTGGTATATAGAAAACAAAATATTACCTTTAGATAACTTTGAACTGTAACCTGAATGTTTACATTGACATTGGCCTTACAAATCATTCGAACTAGTCTGACATCACCCAGTTTAATTGCATGCTGAAGAATGTGGCAGTTTTCTGAAGCCTGTATTATAGACACATAATAAATGATGATAAAAGTCTTGATGCAAGCCTTTATTGCAATACATTTTTAAAGTTCAAAATAAAATAGCTTGTCGTTAATTGCTTTAGCTGTTATGTTGCTTCATGTACAAATAAGAATCTCACTTATTTACTTCATTCAAGTCAAATGTTTAATGTTCAAATAAATAAAATGCTAAAAATGAACCGATAATAAATTATTGATACCATTTGCTGCTTTCTTGATCAAGACTTACATAGTTCAGGAAGTTAACATCACATTTAGAATAGGACAGAAAGGTGAAGGCCTTTTCAGAGTCAGCTTCCAAAACAGCATAGATTGCACCCTGCAATAATACATTTTGTAAGCAGTCAAGAAATCCTGCTTTAATACTTAAATAAATATTTTTTAGACTAAACAAAAGGTCAGTGATATTACCACAATCTAAAAATTTAAGAAGAAAATAATGAATGTACTGTTCATAAGCCCCTTCCTTCATAAGCAGAACCCTTTAGATTTGGCAGGAATAGCCTTAAAAGTGTGCATACTGCTAATTATGCACATTCCTCCATGTTCACTTCAGTTAATTCCTTTTTTTCTTCATTATTTTCTAAAATAGGATCAATTTACATGGAGAAATTATAAAAATCTTCAATGACCCACTAATAATTCGGCCACCACATTTATTCCATGAAATTATTTTTTTTTAAAGTGGGCTTATGAATGATTATATATGGTAATGAGCCAGAAACTACCCAGTTGAGCCAGCATAAAGTTTCAACACACTAACTTTTGTTAATTATGAAACTGAATAAACCTCTGATATTAAAAATATGTTTCATCAACTCATCTGACCAGTGTGTATCTGTGGACATCAATATGAAAGACCAAATCATGGAACTTGTGAGCTGCAGTAAACTGCCTCAGTGTTTGCCCACCCTGCAGAAAACATAATTCAAGATAGAAATGATTCTTTCAAAATGTTTTCTTTCACATGCTAGTATTTTCCCAAAGTAGCGTTATATTACATGTTAAGTTTCATAACATTAATTTATTCCTGAAGTCAAACAGCTGCTTGCTTAGCCCTTCAGACAGACAGTGGTCACGTCATCTCTGTTTTTACATATTATTAACCATTTAGTAATTTTTTATTTTTTTTAGAGATTGTCAATTATTTTAGGATTGCATGGCATAAAATTAACAATTTTTAAATCTTTAAAGTGTTCCCAAACTCACTCATTATTCTTTAATGATAAATCTATCTGAAGTTGTAATTTCTCTCTCTTTTATTTTGTAACAACAACAATAGAACCACTGATATTTCTAAAATTAAAAATAACTTAGCTTAACACTTACCCTTTTGGTATCCACTCTGGACCAGCAATGGAGAAGGTGCAGCACTTTGTCCACATCATGATTAGCAACAGCCTCAAAGATACCTGGCTAGTTTTAAGGAAATAGTCCAAAAAGTGTAATGTAGGGTAATTCTGTAATTGAGAGCCTTTACATTTTCAAGAAGTAAAACATTCAGATTTTAGTCTTAAATCGAATACATTGATAGAGTAACTAATTTTATAAATAAGGAAAACAAAGCAAATAGATCAAAAAGAATCTTCCAATTTCAATATAAAAAAGAAAGAGAGGAAGGCCAAAGATTACAAGGAGATGCAAGTTAGAGGCAGACATACAAAATATGGGATACATCTGGAAACAACTGGAAAAGCAAGCACAAGACCTTGATGAATGGAGAATTCTTGTGGATGGCCTATGAACCAGAAAGGGTAAAAAGGCATAAGAAGAAGAAGAAGAATTTCAACAGCTTGTTCTATAAATTATATTCATATTCAAAATAAATATTAAACTGTTACACAGCCATCCAGATAAAGTTTTGGTTGTCTTTGGATATATTAAAAAACTGAAGCAAACAATTCCCTTTTTTTGTTAACCTATTAATAATGATTTGATCTTGTTTAGAATTGAAGTTAAAACATATAACATTATAGAATATATACTTTATAATTAAAGATAATCTTTGCAGTATTTCTGCATCATCCCATTTAACACAACATATTTGAACAATACTGGGTATGTTGTTTTGTCTATAAAAGACTTGAGTTGTATGTGTTCAGATTAGAAATTACCAACCTGATACTTGTTATAGATAGTCTTCCAGAATAAATTTTTTGTGGGTATTTCAGCTGCTGTTTTGCCAGCCTAAATAGAATATGATATAGAATGATATTTTGATTTTTTTTCTTTAAATATAGATTAATTATAAATATTTTATTATTTGAGTTTTTTCTTCACAATTAAATATTAATTTAAATTAGTTTAAACAAATAAGTGAATATATTAGTTTGACCTTGTTTTTTATGTTAGCATCTATTCCTGCAGCTAGAAGATCACCAACATGGCAGCATTCATTTTGCAGGGCAGTTACATGAAGAGCTGTGTTTCCATGCTATTGGTATGAAGAATATACAAGTATGCTTATTTGAGCCTATCTAAAATAAAGTTGATGTTTTAAAGAGAAAAATGTTGTTTTTTTTTTTTTTTTTTGCCTTTATGATTTTTAAAGAAAAAATCAAAATAAAAAATTTCAAAATATTTTTAAAAAATAATTATTTAGAAAAATTTTTAATTTTTTTTTGTTTTTTTTTTAATTTAAGTTGATTTTTTAAAGAGAAAAATGTTTTTTTTTTTTTTTTTTTTTGCCTTTATGATTTTTAAAGAAAAAATCAAAATAAAAACTTTCAAAGTATTTTTAAAAAATAATTATTGAGAAATATTTTTAATAAATACATACCCTATTCTGTGCATTGAGATTGATGCCTGTACCAACAATAATGTGCATTATTACTGGTCGATACCCAGTACACACATAGTGCAGGTAGGTGTTGTTTTTCTGTAGAGGTAAATATGATTTCTTTAATAAAGAGAAAAAAATTCTCCATAAGAACTGTTTTGCCTCTGGTATTTAATTTAATTTATTTTCTAATTTAGTTATAAAACAAGTGCTGTTGTTTCATGTTACCCTCAGAAGGGAGCATAATGTAACTTATAGGCCTACATAGTGTTGGCTTACATCTATCATAATAGCAGTATTAGAAAATATTAAGACTTAGAATAGTTCCTCTATTTATTTTTACACTTGAAAAAACTTGTGTTGAGGAAAATTAGAAATTCGTTCTGCATTTTTTTTTTCATTTAGAAATGGAGTTTTTATAATCAGTAATAATGCTATTTAAGTTTTAGTTAAATCATTATTTTCTATAATATATCAATCAAATGACTATTAATAACATTTGAACAGTTCTTGTAGTTCATGTTGAAATGTTAGCTTGAAATCAATAATATTTTTTTTAAGCTGCACAAATCTCAGCATTATAGGCCAATTGAGAAATAGCTCACCCTATCTGTGTAAAATGGATTTTCTCCATTCTTCAGAGCAGCTTGTAATGTAGGTACATCATTTTGCTTAATAGCTCTAAGGATTAGAGTCTGGATAGAAGCATACATAATTTAGCATTGAATGTTCCATGTTTCTTATAAAATAAGTCTACAATAATTTTTTTATAAAAATTAATAAATAAGGGATGGTATAAAGGCTTATTGTGGGAAATCCAGAGAAGGGTTTAAAATTGGCATGTTAAAGAATTATGTGTTGAAAATGAAAAGTTAAATTATAGTGCAAAAAGAAAACAATTGACAATGGATAAAGAATAGAAGAAGGCAGGCAAAAATGGTGTAAGACTCCACTAAGACACTTAATTTAAAAAGTTCTTTTTTCTGGCTAGGTACAGAAACATATTATTTATTATTTTGAATTAGAATTAAAATGAGAAATGTCAAAAAGATGGTCTTGTTAAAAAGACAAAGGCTTTAATATAAATTATATGTTCATTAACTGCCCTCATTTAATTTATTCCAACATTGACAACAAACACAGGCATATTCCAAGGATCTATTTTGTTGATTATCTGATTTCTTTTAAAAACTTTATTTCCCATAGTTTTTTTCTTTTGAAATCTTATAACTCACATAAATAATACATCAATTTTTAAAAAAACATCAGCAGTAGCAATATCAAAACAGTCAACATCAAAAGTCAAAAGACTTAAATGTTCATAGTTCATTTTATATAATATAAGTGTCAATGTTGTATTATTAGTTAAAAACGTTTTCACAAATATTGAAATTTCATTTGATTAGTCAAGAAGTTGGAAACCCACAGCTATGGCACACAGTACATGGACCTTTACATTGCATAGCTCTAGCAATATTTTATAAAAAATAAGTTTAATAATACTTCAACTTTCAACTTCAGTTTCAGTCACAAAAAAAACCGTTGCCTTTTACTAAATTTATACCTAAGTAAGAATTGATTTCTAATTGAATAGAAAGCTCTATGATTTAAATTCTAATAAAAATAAATTGCTTTTTAATTGTTAAAAAATTAGGAATAAATCTACTTACGTCCTCTCCTTCAAACATCGAACCAGCCATATTTTAGCTTGTTATGGAAGTATGCAACAAAACAGATTTACTTCAAATAGATGCTCATTTCGTATTTACAATATTTAGGCCTAGTCATAGGGCCTAGTCTTTAAAAAGTTAACAGGCCGGTCATGCCCACATTCACATAGCCTACTCCTCAGGTCCTAATTTACTATAATTTATAATGCTTTACTTTACACCGTGGGCCAATCAATTAGTTTGAATTAGGCCTAATTAAAAAAAAAAAAGATAAAGAGATCTACATACTAGATCGGGCGTTTCTGCTGAACCTTTCTCCAATCAATTAAATTTTTGTCAATAGGTTTTTTCGGCTAATTCTTAGAGATCAACCCGTGATGTCATTTACGGGTTTATTAAAGTTGCAGAGAATTAGGGTTTAGGTTAGGTTGAGGGATCGATTAAGGGTTTAGGTTTGTCATAGTCATAGGGATCGACTTATGATTTAGGGTTCAGGTTAGGCCTAGGCATATGAGGGCGAGGGATCGATTAAGGGATACAATATACATTAGTGACAGAATTAACTGGTTGTATCAACCAAGATGGCAGCCATCAAGCGACGATCTCTAATTATTTACCGTTTTTTCTTTTATTTTACCCCTAATTAATACACTGTAACATACATATTTAATATGAATATGATTTTATGAAACTTAATCGGTCACCATCTTGTTTCTAGTGTAAACAATTAAAAATAATGAAAACGGAAGTCCTTTTATAAACACATCTGACAAAAGATTTCGTCTTTTTCTTTAAATATTTGAATTTGAACTTTTATTTTAATGATCTCTCCTCACTGGTGTTACGCGGTGTTATCGGCAGGGTTTCTTTCAACTAGATTCTGTGGGGGGGGGGGGGCACTGCCGGACTGCCGAAGAAAGCCAAGTATCCCACCGGAGCAAAAATATGTCCAACAACAAATCAACTGCCACATTTTGTAATAGTCACTGGTTGTCGGGAGTGGGGACAAGCCGTGTTTCTGGTCATGTGAAAGTTCCAACCCCTCGAAACTTCAACCATTTCTTTAAAAATTTGTATTGAGATCACTGAGTGTTTTTTTTTGTGGGTTTTTTTTTGTTTGTTTGCGATAACAAAATGTATGGATATGAATTTGCATGACCAAATTAAATTGCAAACAAGTAAAATGAGTTTGATACGGAGATTCATATGTGCATGTTGAAGCTTGTGTTTTAAAAAACATAATTGAAGGTTTTATTTGATCACAGACGAATAAAACAATAGCGAGTGTTTAAAAAAATGTTGATGAAAATTCTGCATCTTGTTTGTAATGCTATTTTTACACCAGTGACCCACGGAGTCAGTGAGTACCATCTTTAGAAGGCCTTGTTGCATTATTTGGTGAGTGACTGGAAATATACAGAAAGACTTGGTAAATGGAGATGTACAGAAAGACTTCATGACTGCAAATGTACAGAAAGACTTGGTGACTGAAAATGTACAGAAAGACTTGGTGACTGGAAATGTACAGAAAGACTTGGTGACTGGAAATGTACAGAAAGACTAGGTGACTGGAAATGTTACAGGATATAAGGGAGCTGAAAATATGACCCAGTTTAGGGGCAAATTCAATATTCCTTGTAGGATTGCCAGGGGGTTCCTTGAACTTGAACAAAGAGCAAGCACATCCTTCTTATAGTACAGAGTAGAGTAAGGGGGAGTCAGTGAAGTGGGCATGTTTAGTAGGTATGAATGTAGAGGACCTTGGCAAGGGATTGGATAGGGGATTAGGGCTACTGCAAAAGGGATGAGGTGAAAGCTATGTGCTTAAATATGTTGGTTTTGGGGGAAGCTGTGATTAAAGATAGGTACGAGATATTTGATTGATGGGCGACCAATTTGATCTGGAGTAAAGAAGAAGAGATGGAAAAGGAGACTTTATAGCGTATTTTATTGCTGTTTTAGATTCATTTTGACAGGTTAAAATGATACCAGTATGCAACATCTTCAACCTTTATTTCTTCAGTTAGTTTAAAAGATAGGCACTATTTATAGTATTGGTAAGTTTCATTAAAAAATAACTCAGTTTATTTAATAAAAACGATAATACATGTTCAAAGGTAAGGTAAGGCTTACCAACGTTTTAATGGTTGAAATCGGAATCAATAGGTGTATCACCCAAGGACTTAGGGGAACATTGTTTTGGGTTGGTTGTTGGGGCAGAAAAATATACTATTGTCCCTAACAACCAGAGTTTTGCAGATTGGCTGCTTGACAGCACACCTTACTGCTAAGTATAAAATAGAAAAATAAATTATACAAACATGATTGATTTTTGGAAAGCTAGGCTATTATTTTATTGGATCGCAAATACTTTAATATTTCTCATTTGATACAAAATATAAAAGGAAAAACAACTTAACCAACAGCAAATTTTTAGATTTTCCTCAAAATCTTTTTCAGATAGAGATGTATTGTCACACGAAGACCTCTAATTGGAGATTCTAGCATTCTCACCACCATATGCTTATTGAGGAAAAGGGGTGGTGATCTTCACAGGGTGAAGGCATGAACTGTATAAGATCAGCTGTTAAAGATTCTAAATTTCAAGTGACAAAAACAGAAACTTCCTTCCCCACACCACACTAGTAGGGAGGCCGCTGGTGTAGCTTGGATTCAAACGTTTCTCATACACGAGATGTCCATTGTAAAACACAATAGGGAGAGGATTGGGGAGGGGGGAAGGAAGAGGGGCTTTTGGAGCAGAACATTTAATCAAAATAACTGCTGGAGTGATAGCCATGCTTGTCTTGTTCCATGGAGATAGCAAACAGTCATAAATCTCTGATCCACCCCCAAGCACTTTCAACAATGCTCATTTTTGATCCTGTTAAAATATAATTAGCACGTGTGGAAATTTAGGGAAAACACATAAAATAATGTACCAGAGAGAGGTTTTAACTTCATGCTGTGTGAATGAAATATTTAAAAACATGGTATGTAGCATCTTGAATAACAGTAAAAGACAACACATTTTCGGCATTGTAAAAAGTAAAATATTTTCCACATTGAAGTAATGAATTGTAAAAAAAGATGTTAAGAATTGTTAAAAAGAAAACCACAACAAAAACACAAAGAGTCTTACGCACATGATAAGCCAAGTCAGTGGTGGTGTTGCCTGGACGTCAACTACGTTTTTTTGTGTCAATTATAGTAAAACATGGATTTTCTTTAATTTGTGAAAGAAAACTGCAAGTTTATAGAATGCCTGAAAGAATTAATATATGGAGAATAAATTTATTTATATGGTGAATTCATTGATTTATAAATTAGGTACATTGACTACATATGTTAAGCCAATTTACCATGCGCAATGCTACAAATACAATGCCACGTAGCAGCAAAATCCTGTAAAAAATTCCCCCCACTTTCTTTTCTTCTTCATGATTGTAAGAGACTTGTGACAGAACTTTTTTCTTTTGTCCCCAATGCTTTTTATTCATGAAATAGAATATTTGCATTATGGTATGTGAAATTTAAATTCTACAAATATTTAATTATATATCTACATCACCATGATCCATCACTTTGACTTAAAGAAGCGAAACAATAATTAAAACTTTAAAAAAGCAAAATTGGTGCTTTATACAAGAAGAGTTGCAGAGAATAACTATCAATACAAAAACATTTTGCAGTTATGTTGCAGTTTAAAAAATTCACTAGCTTATAAAAGTGATGAGATACTCTGGATAAGCTTGAGCATCATGAAATATGACGTAGATGACTCCATTTCCATCTGTTCCAGAATCATAAAGGGTAATTTTTTCTTGGCTTGTTAGGAAGGGCCCTGTCCACTCCTTTAGTTACTACTGACTCGCCAACTAGAACTCTGACGTGATACATTTTGTGTTCTTTCGTTGTTGGATCTTGTTTGGCAAATTTATTAAATATTTGGGATCAAAAGCAAAGTAGGCACCGTCCCCAAAGTAGACGATGATGCACCATCGTCTCACGAGACGGAAGGATGCCGATAGTAGGTCTTAGGGACGGAACGTCCCTGGCGTGCCGCTTCGCGGCCTCATCGGAATAAAGACCACTGGGGAGTGGTTGATGGCCGGTTTGGTTGGCGGGGTGGTGCGTTGGGGGGGGGGGGCATATGAGCTACGGCTCGGTGTTCGCTGGTTTTCTTAAGTAAGTTAGTTAGTAGGTTTGATAAGATTACTCAGTGTTTTATTTTTATGATAAAGAAAATGGAGATTCATTAAAACAATAATGTTTCTAAAGAGTTTATAAAATAAATAAATTAAAAAATGTCTTTTTTATAGGAATTTACCCGATTTGTAATTTCGACTGAAGTCGCTGTGATTGATGGCGTCAACCTTAGAAAAGGGTGTGCCATGATACAGCAACTTCTCATTTTTATATCCAGCTGGGTTTTGTGAATCCATCTCACGTTACTTCACTGCATATTGTTGGTACAACGCTTTATTCTGCACTCTCTGAATCTAAATGAATGACATATAATATACACTTTTATATACGGATGAGCATTCACAATTACTAAGTTTGTAAATTAAAAAAAAAAAAAGACTAATTTGTAGTTACGGATTTTGAAATTATGAATGCATTGGGGATTTTTTATACGTAAGAAAAATACTTTTAGCTACATGAACATATTTATATCTTAGAACTTATTATTATTTTAAATGTCACTGGTCATTTAAATAAATCACAGAAAAGTAAACTTAAATTACCTAGCAATGTTTATGAATTGAAATGAAATATTGCCTTCAGTTACCTGTTTGACTGTTAAAGGAACTTGAGCTGGCTGGAGTTTGTTGAGCACTGCTTGATATGCTTGGCTTGTTGGTGGTAAATTGACTAGTTTAGGATCTTTATCTTTTTTCATCGAAGTCCAAGTGTCTGGAACAGGCTCTTCTGTTAGGGGTGGAAACCGAGGTCAAAATATTATTGTTTATTTTTAAAAAATAGTGCAAGGTCCCAAAATGTGTCTTTTCAAAAAAAGTTGTAAAAAAAAAAGGAAATTAACTATTTAATTTAATTCAGCAGCTATTTATTTCTAGTCACACAAAATTATTCTGAAAAAGTATTCGTGAAAATTGATTTTATTTCATTCCCCCCCCCCTCCTTATCATTGGTAGTATTGGTAGTTATTTTATAATTTGAGCATGGTCCAAATATGTTCAACATCCAGCTCTCTCTTCAATTTTCTTATCCTTTATGTCAGACATTCAAGGACAATTATTTGGTGGGAGGGGGAGGAAAGTAGTACATATTTTAATTAATAAATTCTTTTAGCTCAACTAAAGACATTTTTTCTACAGCATTAATGCTGAATTGGAATTGTCACACAAAAAAGATCCAATATGTCGCTTCAATGACTCAAAAATTCAATGATATCTTGTAGACTTTGAAAAATGCCTGCAGTTTTTGCTAGACAGTAGAGGAAATGTCACTGGCCAGGGCACTGAAATCAGACGACGAGATCTCACAAAAGGTAAATCATAAACTATTTTTATGTATTTCATCATCATCATGTCCCTTAGTCCTTGGACCGTTGGGGTGCCACAGATGACATGTGAACTATCCTCCTCCATTCGTTTCTGTCTTCTGCACTGCGCACATCATCACCCAGTGCTAGTCCTGTCCACTCTTTGATGTTGTCCTTTAATCTTTTTCTT